GGCAGCCCGCACGCGGGGGGCGGGGGGGGACGATGCCAGGTGCATGTCAGGTCCGGGGCTTTGGTGCCTGGCCTTGAGTCGGGCCTGTCCCTCTACAGAGGGAACATTCAAAATTTGTCAAAAATAGCCTGGGAACGTTTTTTATATTATTTTTTGAAAATTTTGGGAGTGCTGTTCAAGTATTTTTATGTTTTCGCCCAAAATCCCCCTGTAGGGGGACAGGGCCGACCTAAGCCTGGCCTGAGGTGCGCCCGCGCAGCTGGGTGTCGCTCGGCCCTTCGGGCATGGCCGCGGTGCTCCTACGGGTCCCTCCGCTGCTGCTGCGCTGCCCTGTGCACGGCGTGGCTGTACACACCCCTCGCACGGATCATGCCCCACGAGGAGCTGCACCTATCGTGCGGCCTCTGGACACACCTCCCGTACGGGCTCACGTGGGTGTTCACACAGACATCGGGTAGGCGTCACACGGACGGCGGAAGGCATCGAGTTGCCATTCGATGAAGAGTGGGTTCGTGTTCGGAGCGCTGGTTAGTGCAGCATGCTTTCTCGTGTAGCCGTGGGCACGGCGACGGCTTTGTTTTGGAGTTTCGCAAGGAATTTGCCAATGCGCATGCTTCATTTTACTCTTTGGTTGTGCTTCCTCGGAAACCCGGCTGTCAGACGCCTTGCTCGCGCGTTGCGCCACGCGCGCGCGAGAAGGCTGCAGCCTTCCTGGCCCAGGGGGGCCAGCATCTTAAACGAATCGCCTTTGGAACAAGGTTGTCGGAATCGGAATGTCATCAACCTCGGTTCAGGTGCCCAAGATTAGAACTTGCTAGCTCCACCCCGCCGCCGTATTCAAAAATCGTGGCACCCGAAACGGGGACTTGTTTCTTAACTCAGGACGTGGGCGGCGCGCCCGAGAAAGTGGCAGCCGTGAGTCCACACATACTTCATTCTTCCCTCTCTCCAGGTGGAATTGCCTGAGTCCTGGTCAGCAGAAGTCGGGTTCAGGGTTCAGGGGGACCCTCGGGGAACTCGGTATGTCTGACACTCCTCTTGGGGCTCTTCGGGGCCCTCCTGAAACCTCTTTGGGGTTCTTTTTTGGCGTCTTGGGGTCCCAGTGAGGCTCTTGGGGAGGGTCTTTGATCCCTCGTGGGGCGATCTTTGGAGGTCGGAATTACATCTCGGAAGCTATCCTCCCTACGCCACGACCCTTTCCACGGGACCAGTTTTTCATCCTGAGTCGTTTTTGGACGGTCCCGAGGCCCGGCGAGGGCTCCCCGAGGCCGAAATCGGCCAAAGACTGCCCGTCCTGATTTTGTTAACGACGCGATCATGTCTGGGTTGTATGCACCTTCGGCGCCCTCCCTGAAATCCTGGATTCGCAGGGGCCCTCCAGGAGGGCCTCGCTGGGCCGCTCTTTTGGACCAGGAGGCGCACCGACCTCCCTGGAGAGACCCGGGCGCCGGAGTCCCTCGCAACGAGGATGTTCCCCGCTTTCGGTCCGGGGACCATGCCCCGGGACCATGCCCCAGAAATCAGAACGGGAGGTTTTTGGCCGATTTCGGCCTCGGAGGGCCTTCGCTGGGCCTCGGGACTGTCAAAAAACGACTCCGGACGAAGAACTGGTCCCGGGGAAAGGGTCGTGACTTCCAGGGACCCCGTTATGAAAAAATCAGGACGTCGCATGTCTGGGTTCGCAACGAGGATGGTCCCCGCTTTCGGGCCCCAGATCCAGGCCAGACCGATCCAGCTTGGAGAACTCAGCAGAAACATGTGGTTCGGAGCTCCGGTCGCTATTTTTCACGACGCTGTGACCTTTTCGCGACGTCGGATCTCGGTGTCCAGGGGTCGTGGACAAGATTGCAGGGCCGCTCGTTGGTTCGGCCCCACTGCTGGCCCCGCTTGGTGAGCAGAAGTGGGGCGCAGCCCTGCAGAAGCTGAAAGGGATGCGCCACCCATGGACGCCATGGACTGCACAACACATGGTTGGCACGGCGCCACAGATTGCGCCATCCATGGGCTGCGCCACAGGTTGCCCAATCCATGGGTTGCGCCACAGGTTGCGCCGGTCATCGCTTGCTCCATAGGTCGAACCACAGGTCGTGATATACCGGGCCACGAATGCAACGGCCGGCTATTCGGTGCGCCACGGATTGCTCACGCTGCCGCGGAAAATCTAACGGAATCTTGGTGGTTGCGACATGAGTGGCTCAATCGCTTGCGGAACAGCATACCGAATTTCTATTGGAAGCGGCACAAGTTACGCACTTGGTTGCTGAGCATGAAATGTCATGCCATTGGCTGCTCCATCTGTTCCGGGGACGGCAGCCACATATACAATGGTCTTCGAACGGGTGCGACCAGTCCAGCTGTCTTGTCAGCCAGATAGTTCGTTTATCCAGTCAGCCAGTCAATCAGTTAGTCTTCCAGGCAAGCGATCTCGCAACAACAACGAATGTGAATTGGAGTTCTGGAGGCCAGATGGGGTGATGGAGGGAGCATGCTATTTTGTTGTACTTTTCTACACTTAGGTCCGACGTGTTCCCTACAGGCGGATTTGGGACGACACATTTAAAATAGTCAAAAATATTCCAACATAGTCAAGAATAGTCAAAGACTTGTCCCCATACCATTTGTGACTATTTTTGAGTATCCTCCTGTAGAGGGACAGGCCCGACTTGATGGCGTCCCTTGGCGCCACGGCCAGACGCGCTTCATGATCTGGATCTGGACGCGCTCCATACGAGGCTCGACGGCCGATCGAAGCGCTGCTGTCGGAGGTCTCATGGACCGCTTCCGTCTTGATTGTGTTTTCGTGTGTGTGAGTGTGTGTGTTTGTCGGGCCGGACAGAAGGGGGGGATTGGGAAAGGGGGGGTTACGAAATTTGCTGCATGCAGCTGGCTTCGGTCTCACCGAGGGGCCCATGCCTCGGTACATGGCCGCCTCCCGGCGCCGGGAGGCGCCGGGAGAATCATCTACGTGAGCTGATTATCAAACCCCCCCTTTGCTATCCCCCCCTTTCGCCCGACCCGAGTGTGTGTGTGTGTGTGTGTGCGTGTGTGTGTGTGTGTGTGTGTGTGCGTCTTCTTCGCCCTGGGTCCTGCTGTGGAACGCTCGGAACTCTGCGGGTGTGCCCACACCCTAAAGCTGTTTTGGATGAGCTCGTGCATTTCCGCTGGTCCAAAGGGAACCCGAAACGAATGCGCACAGTTCTGCTTGGCTTTGGTAGGCCCCGGCGGAGGACCCGGAGAGTGGTATCATCGAGGAGTCCACAAACACCCGAAAGTTGAAGTTCGCCAGCCGAACCGGCAGCATGCGCTTCGACGAGGCGATGCAGTCCGACGGCTGCCTGCAGGGGCTGGTGGTTAAGCCTGAGTCCAGGCGCTGCATTGTCTGGGACATGCTCCGTTTGGTCGCCCTGAGCTACGACGTCCTCATGATGCCGATGATGGCGTTCCTTGTGAGTGAGGAGCCCAGGGGCAAGCAAATCGCGGACATGGTGACCACCGTCTTCTGGACATGTGACATACCCGTGAACTTCCTCACGGCATTCCACGCCGACGGCTTGCTGGAGATGCGGCCCCGACAGATCGCCTGGCACTACCTGCGCTGCTGGTTCTGGGGAAACGAAGTCCCAGACCCGCCGCGCCCAGACCGATACTGGTACTGCTGCTCCCAGACCTCTCCCGGCGTGCCTTCTGACCAGAATTTTAAAGAGAATCCAGCCGTGCCCATGAGGATTCTCCAGGACGGGCATCAGCATCGGCACCCTCTCTTCCTGTGAGGTTCCTGGTGGACTTCCCGCTGGTGGCCCTTGACTGGGTCGCCACCGTCCTGATAGCGGGTGCCGGCGACGTCCTCAATGTCGCCCGCACGAGCAAGGTGTTGCGAATCTGCCGCGCCCTGCGGGTGCTCAGGATGGTGCGGGTGCTGAGGTTCCCCAGGTGGTCAGCGGCAACGCTGGAGGAAACTGTTGACCCTTCGCGAATCCCCACCAGCCCATCCAGAAACGATGCCCAGAGGAATTGCCTCGATCAGGGAAGCGGGCAGCACACAAAGGAAGGGTCCCCCAGTGGAGGCTTCTTGGAGCGTCTTGGGGGCATGGGGGCGGTCCCGGACGCCTCTTAGAGCGTCTTGAGTGCCTCGGAGAGCTTCTGGGGGCATCTTGGGGGTCTCTTGGGAGCCTCTTGGAGGCCTCTTGGGCGCCTGTTGGGGCCTCCTGGGGCCTCCTGGACGCCTCTTGGGGCCCTCTTGAAGCGCTCTTGGGAGCCTTGGGAGCGCTCTTGGAGCCCTCTCGGGCCATCTTGGAGCCATCTTGAGGCCTCGGCGAGAAAGCCAAAAACATTGATTTCCCTAAGGTTTTGGAAGGATTTGGGCCTCTTCGGGGCCTCCTGGGAGAGCTCTGTGGCCACTTGAAGCCGTCTTGGAGCGGTCTGGGGGCCTCTTGGAGCTTCGTGGGCGCCATCTTGAGGCATCTTGGGATATTTCGAGCCATCTTGGAGATCATCTTTGGCTCTCCCAGGCGCTCTTGGAGTCATCTGAAGCAGTGCCCCCCCCCCCAGGAGGCCAACATGTGGCCAAAACCTGAGTAAAATCAGCGATTTTGGCATTGTCGCCGAGGCCTCTTGGAGCGTCTTGGGTGCCTCTGGGGGGCCTCTTGGGGCCTCGTGGAGGTCTCTTGGGGGTCTCTTGGGAGCCTCTTGGGGGCATCCTGGGGGCCTCTTGGAGCCTCCTGGTCACCTCTTGGGGCCCTCTTGGGGCACCCTTGGGAGCCTTGGGAGCGCTCTTGGGGCCATCTCGGAGGAGAGAAGGGGGGGGTACGGATTGTAGTCGCCCCCTCAGAAGGCCAAAATGGGACCAAAACGATAGTAACATCAATGAGTTTGGCTTCCTCGAGCAGGCCGTTTTGGACGCTCCGACGACTCGCGACCCCCCCCGTCCAGGTCCAGGGGAGGGGGTAAGGGGAGGGGTAGACCCCTCCCCGAAGGGGAAGAAGGAGGTGTAAAAGAGGAAACTCCCTAAACCACCGACGCCCAGAGGGCTGGTGGGATTTCAGTGGGGACGCGTGCGTTGCATCTTCGGGGGACCTCGCCTGTCCCCCAAATTGGTGTCTTTCCTTGTGCCTGGCGCAGGCTCGATGCGGGCTCGACGCGGATTTGGCGTGGATTCGACGCGGATTCGACACGGATTCGACACGCATTCGACACGGATCCGACGAGTCCGACATGGATTCGACACGGATTCGAAGCGGATAGGGCCGCGACGGGACAGTCAAGGTGCTTTGAGGATGCAACATGAGGGACGCGCATCAAGAATCAATTTGTTTTTTCTCGTCAGGATGGCTCTGGTTTCTTTGCTTCGCTCGTTGCGCGCGCTCGTTGCGCGCGCGGTTGAGCGTCCTGGCTCGCCTATAGCCTTACCAAACATTGTTCTAAGAACCTTGGGTGGTTCCACGAAAAGTTCTCAGAGCAGTTCTGGCGGAGTCTGTCTTGTTTGAACACATCGGGTTCATGCTCTACGAACATTGTTTTTGTTCTTAGAACATGTTAGGGGTTCTACGAACATTTCGGGGTAGGGCTATAGGAATGCCGGGACGGTCGGCCCCTGCTCAAGTGAAGTCCCGCGGTCCTTGAAGACGCCGTTGCGCTCAGGGCGCTCTGGGTTCCCCCTGTGTGCCTCTCGCGCAGGGGGTTTTCAGGGGCTGGGCCGGGCCAGGCGCGTTCCTCTTCGGAGGCCCCGCCGCCTCGGTCTCATGCATCTCCGCCTCTCTGGAGTCCCGAAACGGTGCGGTGACAGACCGTGCGGTCTCCTCCTCCTCCTCCTCCTCCTTCTCCTCCTCCCCCTCCTCCTGCTCCTCCTCCGTCTCCTTCTCCTCGTCCTCCTCCTCCTCCTCCTCCTCCTCCTCCTCCTCCTCTCCCCCTCGTGCTCCTCCTCCCGCTCCTGCTCTTTCTGCTCCTGCCCCTCCCGCCCCTGCCCCTCCCGCTCCTGCTCGCGCGCCTCCCGCTCCCCCTCCCCCAAGACCTCACCGCACGGTCCATCACCGCACGGTCTTGGGACCTCGGAGGCCCCAGTCGCCCGAGGCGTCCTCGGGGGCCCGAGTCCCAAAACCGTGCGGTGGCCCCGAATCCCCACAAACTCACCGCACGTTGTGGTCATCACCCCGTTTAGGGGACCCCCTAGCCTCCGTCGCGCCGAGATTCTTGGGCAAGCCGCTGACGTGAAAATCGTCCTCTGGGACGCTTCCTCGTTGCCTGCGAGGGTTTCGTGCGGCCGCGTCCGCACTGCAGGCTCTGGGGGAGGCGCATCGGGCCAATTGATCGCCGATGGGGGCCAGATAACAGATAGCCTCAAGTCGGGCCTGCCTCTCTACATGAGGAGTATTCAAAAATAGTGGAGAGATAGTTTGGGGACGCTTGTTCGATTATCATCTGACCATGTTTCAAAAGTCTTCGGTACTTCTTATTTTTCCTCCGAAATCCCCTTGTAGGAGGACGCGCCCGACCTAAAGATGGCCCCACCCCGCCCAGGAGCGCGCGGAAATTTGCTGTCGGAGGCCAGTCGCGGACTCGGGGTCGATGCTTCGCGCCCTGAGCCGGCCAACCCCCCCCCCCCACCCTGGCGTTGCCCCTCAGGTGGGCGGACGGCCTGAGCGACGCCCTGCGCTCGGAGGCTCCCATCTCGAGGAGCAAAAAAACAAACTGCGTAAACGTCAACCTTCGGAGCTCCGTGCGGATCTCTTGTAGCGGCGCTGGGCCCCCTGGCGGTGCCTCCGGCGCCGCCTTTGGCGCGCCCCGCGCGCCAGGAAGGGGGGGCCTGTCGTCGAAGAAATTCGTACGGATCTCCAAACGTGGTATGTTTAATGGCGTGCCCTGAGATCCGACGTTGCGAACATAATGCAGCATCGCGTGGCATCAAGACTGCAGCTCTGGACCCCATTTTCCTGCTGCATCTCTCGAGCCGGATCGGTCTGTGATGGTTCCTGGGGCGCGAAAGCCGGCGAGGCGGACCAGTCATTTACGCTCTGCGCCGCACAGATCTCAGGCTTGCTTTCTTTTCCTCTGCCATCACCGCGTTCTGCATCCTGCGCTCGCTGCTGTTCACCTCGACGGAGGAAAAACGGCGGAAGCATACACTGTTGGCGCTCCGCGCGGATGCCTTGGATCCGCGCCGGGCCCCCCCCGGCGGCGCCTCCGGCTCCGAGGTCCGGCGCAGATCCAAGACATCCGCGCGGAGCGCCAGAAGTGTATGCTCACGCCGTTTCTTCGTCTTCCTCTTCTTCTTCTTCTTCTTCGCGGGGAACGGGCAGCAGGCGCAGGATGCAGAGCGTGGCGATGGCAGCGGGACAGAAAGCAAGCCTGAGATCTGGGCGGCCGCCTGCGCTCGGAGGTCTCCATCACCACGTTCTGCATCCTGCGCTCGCTGCTCTTCATCATCGTGGCGAGTCACTTCGTGGCCTGCGGCTTCTACCTCGTGGGCGACCAGGCCGGGCGGGCGCTCCCCGCGCACGCCCGCGGGGGCGAGCCTTTCGAGCGGACGTGGGTGGAGCAGCTGGACGCGGAGGGCCGCGACGTGGCCTACCGCTACACGACGGCCCTGCACTGGGCGAGCCTGGCGGCGCGCGCGCGGGGGTGTCAGAGGAGGGCCAGGCCAGTCCTGGGCCTCCCGGATGGGGTCGGAGCAGATGGGGTCGGAGGATCGCGCCGCATCGGAGGTGCATCGCCGATGCGGCTCGATGCGGAGCCCGATGTTCTCCACGCGGACGTGGCCGATGCATCGCCGACGTGCCGATGTATCGCCAGCGCATCGCCGTCGCATCGCCGATGCGGCGCGATCCTGCGAGCTCTCATCCAGGAGGCCCCTATTCAGACAGCGGTAGTTAGACCTCGGCGGGCCCCCTCGTCGCCACTGTTGGACGCAGTTCGGGGGTCTGGCGCGTGCGTCTGGACAGAGGGAGGGGTCCAGTGACCGACTGTTTGAGCCGACGTTGTCGCAATTCACCCTGCTCCGAGGTCAGCGTGAGGGGGGCGCCCTTCTCAGAAGGCGGGGGAGCTTCTTTAGAGAAGGCGGGGGGCTTCTTAGAAGCCGCCGTGCCATCCTAAGAAGGCCTCTGTTTTCTAAGACGCGTCCCCCCAGGCCCCCGTCTTCTAAGAAGGCCCCTGTTTTCTCAAGAAGTCCCCCGTTCTCTCAGCAGGCCAGGGCGCCCCAAGCGCGCTTCTCCCGCGTGCGCGCCGCCAGCAATCACACAATTCACGCCGGCCAGCATGGAGGTCGTTCCCAGGAACACGTGGGAGCGCATCTTCGCCGTGCTGACGATCTTGGCCGCCGTGGTCGGCTTCTCCTGCTTCCTGAGCAGCATCACGCAGGCGATGGCCAACCTCCAGCGCGCGAGTTTCGAGAAGTCCAGGGAGAGCTCGAACCTGCGCAAGTACATCACGCAGAACGAGATATCCCTGGAGCTCGGCAACACCATCACCCGCTTCCAGCGGAAGCACTCGCTTCTGGAGCGGCGGAGGGTGCACGAGGACGACGTGCAGGTCTTCAAGATGCTGCCCGAGTCCATCAGGTGCGAGCTCCACTTTCAGGCTTGCCACGCCGCGCCCCCTCGAGCGGAGAGGAGGAGTAGGAGGAGGAGGAGGAGGAGGAGGAGGAGGAGGAGGAGGAGGAGGAAGGGAAGGAGGAGGAGGGGACTGGAGCGAAACCGGCACGCGCCACTGGCGCTGCAGAAGACCCTCTCCCTCCCGCCTCACGTCCTCTCCTCAAGCATCAATCGGATGGCAGTTTTCATTGTGGCGGGCGCCAGCCGGAAAGATGGGAGCCCCAACTGACCGCTATAGGTTCAGCACCTGGGAGGGGGCATTGGATGACCACGCTGTGTTCTCGCGGGAATGGGGGACTTGGCAATGTTGGAGAAGCCACAGTCGAATGGCCTTGCCGCAGCTAGCTAGTGGCAAGACCGGACTGATGACACAACAGCTAGGACGCAACAGCAGAGCACAATCAGACAGAGAGAGAAGCAAGTTCAGCCCACGTCGCCAGCAGAAGTTATTGAAACATGTCGGAGGCGCCGCAGCGGGAACATGATGCCGACAAAGAGTCGCGCCATAGAGAATCTGAACATGCTCACCGGTAATGCGTCTGTCACGCTGGAACATCTCCGGCGAGGCTCAGGAAAGCTCGTTTTTGGAAATATGATGCCATCCATTCGGATGGCCATTCGGAAGGAAGTAGTTCCCCAAACAGTGTTTGCAATTGCGGGTTCTCATTTCGGCTCTAAGGAACTGGGCTGGGTGGGCTCTCTTGCGGGTATTTTGTTGCCTTCGTCGCCCCGTTGCTGCCTCGTCGCCGCCCGTCGTCTGGGACGTGTGGTCGGTATGGCGGCTATGTTGTCGCCGTCGCCGCCCCGTTGCGGCCTGGTCGCCGCCGCTGGATTTCTCCACGTAGATTGCACGAACAAGTCGAGTCTGCGGTGCGCTCTCAGATCGCTCAGAACATAGACTGCACCACATACATTCTCCTGTCTAATACTGTATTATTCTCCTTCACCCCAGATTAAACCGCGCCCCTTTTCATATTGGAATGTTCGTTTGATTCTGCCCCATCGTCCATCCTAAATCTGAACTCGTACCATCCCAGCCACGCCGGTATCGACGTTCCCAATCGTTCTCTGCAACAAATACTATGCGCGCGGCGCTCGTTTGTCAAACATCAGCAGTTTTCAACCCCCTTGCAAAACATCTGACGAAATGCAAACGCTTGCGCGTCGTCGCGCGCGCGTGCCGAAATCATCCAAAAACAGTAGGGTCCGCAAGGACTTCATCGAGTGTCCCAGACACACATACAAACACATTGGCTTCGCAGCCCGAATTTTCAAACAAAGCTTGCGCACGGGCTCTTGCGAATTAGTTAGAAAGCCCTAGTTGTTTTCAACATTCCACGGGCCTCTCGTGCGCACATGTCGGAATCACTCGAACGCCCTTGCGCGCGTGCTGTCGCAAGACTCATTCGCAACAAATGGGACGAGGTGCACACGCGCGCGTCGGCGCGCGCACGCCGAAATCCTTCAACGAACCCTAGGTTCTGGAAGGAATTCAAAAGCTAGTGTTCCAAACACGTATAAGATCGCATGGTTTTGCAACATCAGTTGTCAAGCAAATCGTCAGACAACCATCGGCGTTCAATATTCGCATCCAATTCGGCCAAACGGGCCCCTCGCGCCGCACGTCAAAAGCATTCGAACTCCCTTACGCGCGTGCCACGGGTGGGCACGACCCGTGTCAACACCACGCGGGCCATTCTCGCGCGTCGGCCCCGCGCGCGCATGCCGAATTCTTTCCGAAACCTTCATCACCGACTCGAGGGCGCCGCCATCGTCGTCGGCGTGATCAGCGTCGGCGCCGTCACTGGCCTGGCCGCCGTCGTGGCCACCATCGTCATCAGCATCGCTACCATCATCATCCCGTCCATTGTTGTCGACGTTGCCATGATACCGCGCCCGCCCAAGTCGCCGACTCGCATTGGAGTGCCCGCCGGGAAGTGCCCCGCGACCAGCGCCACCGCGGCCGCGTCGGCAGCGCCAAACTAGCTGGCCGCCGCGCGCGCGAGCATGCGCGTGCTAGCGCGGCCGCGGAGATGCACCAGCCAACTCCAAGCACTCGTCGCCATCGCCGCCGCATGGGTTTTGCAAGCGGACTTGCGGGCGGGTGGGTGGGACACGGCCGCCCACCAGGCGAGACTTCGGCAGGCTGCGCCAGCGCAGGGGGCGCCGCCCACCAACCGAAGCCTTGGTTGACCCGCCCAGCGCAGGGGGCGCCCACGAGGCGCCACCAGGCGACACCCTCTGGCAGACCCACCCGGCGCAGGGCCCACGAGACGCCCGCGGCCGCCAAGAGGTCGAATCCTCTGCTGGGCCACCCAGCGCACGGGACGCCCACGAGGCGCCCGCGGCACGCCCATCCGACGATTCCCGTGGCCAGAGCATGTCTTTTAAGGGTGAGCGCTGTCCGGGGAGAAGCTAGGGGAACAAAAAGTGGCATACGGTAGGTTCGTGTCGTGTCGACCGGCGGCGACCCCGCCAGCGGCGTTCAACTTTGAACGCCGCGGGCGACCCAGAATCGCTCGATGTGGAACGATTTGGACATTTCGGAAACGGCCGATCGTTCGAGATTGAACGATCCCCGCGGTGTCAGGAACCAACGCTCGGGTCGTCACGACACGAACCTACCGTAAACATAAAAACTCGGAGGTCCGCGCGGATTTCTCGGATCGGCGCTGGGGCCCCGCTTCGCGCGCCAGGGAGGGGGGTCCAGCGCCGATCCGAGAAATCCGCGCGGACCTCCGAGTTTGTATGTTTATGTCATTTGTTGTTCCCCTAGAAGCGTTTTGGGCCGTGCCCATTGTCATAAGGTGTTGCCCTCCATCCGTGCAGCTGCTGCCGGTGAGCAGCTTCGGTGTCCGAGATGCAGCAGGCAGCATGGGGCGGCAACCCGTCTCTGAGCACGTACCACCTCCCGGCGGACGTGCGTTCGGCATTCCCAGATTAAGCGATGTCGTGTTCATGGAGCTCTCCAGCGATACATCGAATTAGACAACGGCCCGCAGTCCATGTTTGAAATTAGTGGATATCACCACCGCTCGTATCAGAACAGGAGGTAGTGTTCCAGGTGATACTTCGATGTCAGAAAGGGTACACCCTCAATGTGGCTGCTGTTTACAACAAGCTTCAATGCTACACATGCTGCGGCAAAGTTTGGCAATGCCTTTATGCACAAGCTGTTGGAGAACAATCTGTGGTGAATGCCACAACATGTCCAGTTCACCCACTGACACGGTTGGTGGTGCGACGCGGAGGCATTGTTTACAAAGAAGACGGGTGGAACAGAGAAGAGGAGGAGGAGGAGGAGGAGGAGGAGGAGGAGGTCGAGGAGGAGAGGGAGGAGGAGGGGGGGGGGGAGGAGGGGGGGAGGAGGAGAGGGGAGGAGGGGAGGAGAAAGGAGGAGGAGGAGGAGGAAAGGAGGAGTGGGAGGAGGAGGAGTGGGAGGAGGAGGAGGAGGAGGAGGAGGAGGAGGAGGAGGAAGAGAAGAGGAGGAGGAGGAGGAGGAGCAGGAGGAGGAGGAGAAGGAGGGGAGCAGGGGAGGATTAGAAGGAGGATACGGACCTAGCTGGACCAAGCGGTCGACAGGTCGAGAACGGGTACCCGGGGCAGGATAAGGACTAGGATGCCGGACGCCGAGGAGGAGGAGCAGCAGCAGCAGGATGATGAGAATCGACTAGACGTAAGAGTGACCGTTCGCCGGAGTGATCTTTGGTGCGGGCCCAATCGGGTCCCCCGATCGCTGAGCTCGAGGCGGCAGTGGCGTCTTGCGCGCTTGTATTTGGCTGCCCCGCGGCCCCCAAAAGCCGCGCACCAAAGGTCACTCTTACCCAGGGTCACTCTTGCATGTAGCCGAGAGAAGTAGGCAAGGGCTCCCTCGAGGGCGCGAAGTTATTCGCGCTTCGCGCTTCGCGGTCCTCGTTCCTCCTCCCCCTCCTCCTCGTCCTCCTCTTCTCCCCCTTGGGGGGGCGGCGCGAGAGCGCGAAGTTATTCGCGCTTCGCGCTTCGCGGAGCGCGAAGCGCGAACTTAGGAGCCCTTGAGTAGGGTAGAAAAGGGAGTTCTGGTCAGGAGTTTTGGCTTAGCGTGTCGCTCCGCCACGCTTCGGCGCTGCACGCTGTCCACGTCCCAGTCCCCAAGCCTGAACGTCCCGAGCCTTTCCAGCCTTCCGCCCCGCGGAGCGCAGCGTCACGCCATCCGCTTGCAGGGCACAGCGTGTCGCCAGGGCTGCATGTGCGGCACGCTAAGCCACGCAGGAGGAGGAGGAGGTGGAGGAGGAGGAGGAGGAGGAGGAGGTGGAGGAGGTGGAGGTGAGGAGTGGAAGGTGGAGGTGAGGAGTGGAAGGTGGAGGAGGTGGAGGTGGAGGTGGAGGAGGAAGGCCTTCTCGCCCCTCTTCGAGCGGCACCCGCTCCTCCAGCGGCTGCTCCGGGCGGACGACGGCTTCCTGCAGGAGCTCTGCCACGGGGCCGCCGCGGAGGCCTCCCTCGGCGGGTCGGAGGAGCGGCGCGGGGGGCGCCCCAAGAGCAGACGCTGCGACGACGACGACGACGACGACGACGGCGACGACGGCGACGGCGACGGCGGCGACGACGACGAAGACGACCTCGACGACCTCGACGACTTCGACGACGACCTCGACGACTCCGACGAAGACGACGACGACGACCTCGACGACTTCGCTGGGGCCCCCCAGGCGGCGCCTCCGGCGCCGCCCCTGGCGCGCTCCGCGCGCCAGGGAGGGGGGTCCAGCGCAGATCGACAAGAGGTTATGTTTATGTATTTGTTCTCGTTCTATCCTCGGCAACTTGCGCTGCGCTGGGGGCAACGCAGCAGAATTCGCTGCCTTAGCTACGCGCCGCGTCGCGCAGCTGCCAAACAGTGCCCGACTGAGTCGGGCGCCCACCCAGTGCGCTTGTAGTCGCGCATGGCGCCCGAACGTGCCTGTCATGAGTGTCGGTCTCGAAACGCCCCGGAGTTTTCCTGGCCAGCACCTGTCATGAGTGTCGGTCTTCACTCAGGTGGGTAGTGACGCCGACCACCCTGAAGAGTTATCTTGGCAGGCGCGAGCGCCCCCAGAAGGGATGGAGCAGAAAGCCTGCAGGAGAGGATGCCGGACCTCGGGTTCAAAGCTGTCTGAACCCCTTGGGTGCTACGCGGCGCGTTCGCGGCGCCTCGGCGGCATGCGGCTGCGCAGAGGACCGCAGACCTCAGCTCTGGAGGTCGTGATAACTTCTCTCCTGGTGGACGGCAGCGCCGCCACAGTGGAGGGAGCAGATGGAGGGAGCAAAGAGCCTGCAGGAGAGGAGGCTGCAGGGCCGTGGGCCCGAGGAGGCAGACCCAAGTCGTGAGCCGAGTGGGTCATGCTGCGTCGAGAGCTCCTCGTCGTGCAGCTCTGAGCGCGGGGCACGTTCAGTGCTCAGTGGTGTTCACGCGGGGTCAGCAGCCAGGGCCCACGGCATACGCTCAGAAAGTTTCCTCCAGAGCTTTGGCTCAGCGTGTCGCTCCGCCAGCTTTGGCCGTCCACGCTTCGGCTTGTCAGGCGAACCACGCTCCAGTGCCCAAGCCTCAACGCCCCGACCGCTTCCCAGCCCAACGTCCCGCGAAGCGGAGCGACACGCTATCAGCTCGCGGGGTATCGCGTCACGCAGGGGCCGCTGCCGCGAGATGCTAAGCAAACGCTTCTGAGCAACGTTTCTTGAGTCTACAGTCTCCCACCCTCACCTCCACTACCAGGCCATACCCGAGCAGTCACGTTGCATTATGCTCCGCACCTGGCGGGCAGCTTTACACGGATTGGTACTGCGGGTGCTTTGCGGCCTCCAGCCGAGGTTTGTCTGACCCCCATGTGCGTCCTACAGATCACCGTCCTTCTTATCATCGTCGTCATGTCTTTCATATTATTCTCGTTGTTTTTTTTTCTGACGCTCATGGTAGCATACACATATTTATCCGCGCTGTTGTGGAGGCGATAGCAAGCCGCCAAAGGGCACTAAAGGCCACTAGAAGACGCCCGAGGCCACTACGGGCTGCAAGCAGGCGGCTAAAGGCCATCGGAGGCCGCCAATCACACACACACACAAACACACACACACACACACACACACTAATGGCGGCTAAACGCCACTAGAGGCTACTAAGCCGATGTGGTATGTGCTAGAATCAGCTACCAACAAGACTCGCCTAATCCTCTTCACCATCATCGCCGCAATCTCGTCCGAGTCCTACCGTCGAAGTCTGCTCGTGGGGGACTTGGGCGGCGACATTGACATCAGCTTTCTGCATTCGGACCGCATGTTGACCGCATGTTGCCCTTTCTCCCACTCCTCCTCGCCCCCCCTGTTTCTCCTCTCCCACTCCTCCTCCTTCTCGCCTCCCGCAGCGAAGGGGCGAGTCCGATGCAGATCTGGTCCAAGTCCGGTCCAAGACGGGCTCCGAACCTGGTCCAAAGTTTGCCCACGTCCCAGGGCGCAGGGGTGCCCCAGGGGCCACGTAGGCTCGCGTGCAGCGCACACCCAACCTGCACGGCCTCGCCCTGTTCCTCGTCGTCGCCCTCCGTGTTTGCGCCGCTGGATGTCCGAGTCGTGCGCGCTCCCCGCGCAGGAGCTGTTCCATCCCGGGCAGGACACGCGAGGGGTGGGAACGTGGGAACGGGCGAGACGCCCTGCGCACGAGGGAAGATGGAGGGACGTGGAGGGGGGGGAGGGGGATCAGGCAGATCGAGAGGGCCGAGATAGTAGTAGTAGTAGTAGTAGTAGTAGTAGTAGTAGTAGTAGTAGTAGTCGTAGTAGTAGTAGTAGTAGTAGTAGTAGTAGTAGTAGTAGTAGTAGTCGTAGTAGTAGTAGTAGTAGTAGCAGTAGTAGTAGTAGCAGTAGTAGTAGTGGTAGTCGTAGTGGTAGTGGTAGTGGTAGTGGTAGTGGTAGTGGTAGTGGTAGTAGTAGTAGTAGTAGTAGTAGTAGTAGTAGTAGTAGGAGTAGGAGTAGTAGTGGTAGTGGTAGTGGTAGTGGTAGTGGTAGTGGTAGTGGTAGTGGTAGTGGTAGAAGTAGTGGTAGTGGTAGTGGTAGTAGTAATCGTAGTAGTCGTAGTAGTCGTAGTAGTAGTAGTAGTAGTAGTAGTAGTAGTAGTAGTAGTAGTAGTAGTAGTAGTAGTAGTACGAGTAGTACTAGTAGTAAGTAGTAGTAAGTAGTAGTACGTAGTAGTAGTAGTAGTAGTAGTAGTAGTAGTAGTAGTAGTAGTAGTAGTAGTAGTAGTAGTAGTAGTAGTAGTAGTAGTATTAGTAGTAGTAGTAGTATATCCTAGTCGTAGTAGTAGTAGTAGTAGTAGTAGCAGCAGCAGCAGCAGCAGTAGTAGTAGTAGTAGTAGTAGTAGTAGTAGTAGTCCGGCAATGAGGAAGGAGGTGGGGGGCAGGAGAAGCTGAGGAGGAGGTGGCGGGGCCGCGCTGGGAAGAGGAGGAGGAGGAGGCGAGCAGGAGGAGGAGGAAGGAGGGCGAAGCACGGAGTGGGAGGGACGCAGGGGCGGGGGGGGGGACGGGAGCGGCACGAGGACGGCCGGGGCAGCAGGGGAGGGCGAGGAGCCGGAAGGGGGGGCGCGGAGGCGGGCAGGGGGTGGGGGCGGGGTTCGGCCTGCCGGAGTGCACCACCTGCCCCGTCATACTTTGCCGCAGCCTGCAGCAGCACCTCCCCTCCTCCCCATCCAGCCTCTGACAGACAGGGCACCCCCGCGGGGTGGGGTTGCCCTGGGCACCCGCCAGGGCGGTGGGCCACACGGCCGCGCGACCCGATAAAGGGGTGGGGGCCCACAGGAGGCCCCTTCGGGGCCCAACCCGCCACGCTGCCGCCGCGCTGCCGCCTTGTCCCTCCCTTTTCTCCTTTGTGATTATGAGATGGTGCTGATGCTATGCTTGAGTCGGGCCTTTCCCTCTACCGGAGAAATTTTCAAAAATAGACAAACATAGTCTGGGAACGATTTTGTTTTGTTACCATGTTTGATCTTTGCTTGAGCACTTTAGGGGTATTCTTATAATTACTTGCATCCAGGACCCCCCTGTAGGGGGGCAGGCCCGACCTAATGCTTTGCCCCCTCCTTTCCTCCTTCCAGTCCCGCAGAGCCTCGGCCCCTTACTGTTGTGTTTTGGCTCACTTCCCCAAGTCGGGCCCGACCGGGCCTTCCTGGGGGAAGCGGCAGCGTCTGGATAATTCCATTGCCGATATTGCTCCATTGCTTCAGAGGGACGAGAAGGAGGAAGAGGAGGAGGAGGAGGAGGAATAGGAGGAGGATGAGGAGGAGGAGGAGGAGATGGAGGAGATGGAGGGGGAGGAGGAGGAGGCGGAGGAGGAGGAGGAGGAGGAGGAGGAGTAGGAGGAGGAGCTGGAGGAGGAGGAGGATGAGGAGGAGGAGGAGCACGCAGGACGCAGCATAGGCATAGAACGTACAAGCAACGAATCGCGAGAACGCCAGGGCAAGAACATACGGAAATAAACACAACGTAGAGGATAGGACCTGCTGCGTGCGACACGCAGACGGCCATCACACGCGAAAGCAACCCAGCCGAAGCTGAAGCTTAGCTCCGGTGGCTGGGTGCCGCCCGTCGGCGAGCCCGTCCCTGGCCCTGCGCCGAACGGGGTGCGGGGGGGCCGAGGGGCAGACCTCCCCAAGGGCACCGATCTTGGAAGAACAGATGGCCACACGAACCCCACACCAAATATCGCAAGCCTAGAGGTTGACACCAACACCAAGATCGGCGGTGTGCCTCCACCGAGGGAAGACGAGCCCGATCTCGGTGATGGTGGTAATATTCTGGCTTCCAAGGTCACCAAAATATTACCACCAACGCCGAAATCTAGGATCATCTTCCCCATGTGGAGGCAACCCCCTGTGCTGGTGTTGGTGCCAATTTCCAGGCCTCCAAGAATACATAACACAAATGGACTAGAACGCTGGACCCGATGGCCGTCGCATCCGAAAAGGGTCGCACTCCCCAACGCCCCACCGGCAGCAGCAGCAGCAACCACCCCAGCAGCCTTCCCATCCCCCTGGCTACGCCACCTGGGCTGCTCAACAGCAAGGGCGAGGGCTTGGAGCATGGGCGGCGGATCATACTTGGCTCCTGGCTTCAGAAGCGTCTTAACACTGGCAGGGGTCCGAGCCACAGCCAAACAACGCCTGCACTGCAGCGCAGACGAGCCAGGTGCCAGGGGGACGGGATCATGGGCGAGAAGGACAAGCACATCGTGCCTCTCCGCCACCGCCTTGGGCAAAGGAGGGCCAGCGTCCTGCGCCTCAGGACGAGCGCAAATCAGCTGCACCGCCCTCGACAAGAACTCAAAGGTACACTTGCACTCCTTGACAGAGCTCTGGAGGGCATCGACAGCGATTTGTGCAATCGCGACGTCCTTAGCTCCGAGCTTGGCGAACAAATCAGCCCAAGCATTTCCCATGACACGTTGGATCTCCGCAGCCGACGCTCCCTCATCGACCAGCTGTTCCAACGACCGATGCGCGGGAGTCCAGACCATCGACGGCCTCGAACCCAAACGCTCAGACAATCTAAGGATCTTTCGCCAGATCGACGCGTGGCGCGCGAGGCCGCACTCAAGCTCGGAGTCCCAAAGCTGGCTCTCGCGAACAAAACTAAGGTGATCACTGACGATCGTGAGGCCAGCAGGGCCCACGCGCATCGCCTCAAGGCCAGCCCACCGCTCGCCCAGAGGCACTGTTTGAAAGAGTCCTGGGAGCCCGCCGAATTTCGCTCGGAGGGGCCAGCCATCCTCCGTAATCTCGACCGCACTCCAGCCGCACCTCGCCGCCTCGGGACACGCGTCGGCCAATCCACTGCAGTCGGTGAAAAGTAACGGGCCCCAAGTGCCTTCCGTGAGACCCCAATGCAACACGGAAGGATGGGACAGCGGCGGCGGCAGCCTAACCAGGATGTGAGGGAGGCCGTACAAGAGAGGAACGACATCCGAATCCGATCCGCCCAAAGGAGAGATTCCTTGCTCCCGAAGGGCTTGCCGCTGCTGCCACACATCGTCCGGAAAAGGGAGACCGAGCCTCCGCCTCATCCTCCTCGGTTGCGAATGCAGCAGGGCAATCGTACAGCTGGTGGCCAAGCGTACCACGCTCTGCGCCACAAAAAACACACTTACCTGACGCGCAAAGGCCGACCTGAAATTTCCGCTCGGGGGGCCAAAGGCTCCCAGACAGGAGGGCCCGAGCCGACCCCTGGCGAGCACCTGCTGGGAGGGACAACACCGCGAGGCGCATCGCTCGAATCCAAATCTCCTCGTTTCCAGCGGCCTCAGGCCAATGGAACGGAACCCTACGCCAGAACCAGCGCTCGTTGCCGTCTCGGACTAACGCTCGCATCTCTGACGGCGAAAACTCGTACATGGACACAGCTTCGCCTCGATCCGAAATCAACACGTGGGGCGCCGCCATGTCCCAACCGATCCTGCGCAGGGCGAGGATCACCGCAGAGATCGGTCCAGAGCACATCCGCCAGGATGCCTGCTGGCCGACCTTGTCGCGAATGGCCTCCAACGCCGCACGGGGCTGCGAAGCGGAGGTCCTGCCGTCCCACAGCCACGCGGCATAACGGGCTAGCAGCGGGCAGGCGGCATCAAAAGTGGGTTCGTACATCCGGTCCGTCTGCGTGCACGTGTAGACTGTAAGGGACGCAAGACCCTTACGAGCCCCTACAAGCTCACCAGCAAACGAGCGAAGCTTCATGAGCGTGGAGTCGGTTAGGCCTATGACCCCAGCTCCATGGCTTCCAGTCGGCACGATACCGGTACGCCACAGCGTCCGGAACTTCAAACCTCCAGCCCGCTTCAAGGCACGAAGCCTGCCACGGCGTCCCAAGACCGTACCCAAACGTTTTCGCTCCTGGGCCTTGTGGGCGGTGCCGCCCGCAAAAGAATCGCGCCCGAGGTTCCGAGCAGACCGAAAAGCGGAAAGCTTGAGCATCCCCGCCCGTACCTTGACCGCGCGCGCAGCCTCGCGAGATGAGGCCAACAAAACCAGATTTTGCAGGTTGCAGTCGGAACCCTAGGGTACGCGTGTCCCGAACAAACGCCGAGACCGCATTGAAGATGATCCCAGCACGATTGGCCTGCCGACCAATCGACTGGAACGAGACATCGTCCATGAACCCCCGAGGGATCACAAATTGAAACTCATGCCGATTTCCTTGAAGCGGCCGAAGGAGAATTACCTGCATCAGAGTCGTCGCATGGCAGCAGCCGGCCAAAATTCCCTGGTATGAAACAGAGGCTTTACTCGTTACTGACCGAGCCGAAGCTTTTCATACGACGAGGCTGCTGATACACGCATATCAACATCCACGCAAGACGCACAGAGTAGCCTACCGCCACCGCCTCGGCCATCACCACTGCTGGGATGATCATCTGATAGAATTTGATCATATCTAACAGAACTGACACACAGTGGTGGTCAGTGTGCCGGGCCACCTCGGCTTCTAAATTGTGAGAAGAGGCGCAGTCCTCGCTGCTGCGTCCAGGGCTGGCGCCCCAAAGCAGACCACTCCGGTTCCTCCCCTCCCACTCCACGGACGCCCGGCGACGAGCCCTCCCCCACACCCGGACAAGGGTATGCAGCAAGGTAATCCATCGGTGCTCGCCGGGCTTGTCTGGCTTGGGCAGCCGAATGAGCTCCGTCGAGATCCGAGCCGAGGGCCACATGCAGCAGAGCTCGCGCCGCAGAAAAGGAGCGCGAGAGAGTGCATGGCCGCTTCGCTCAGGTGCAGGAGGCTGCGCGGAGCCAGGCGCATCGGGCCCACGGCCGTAGGCAGGAAGCAGAGGCCATTTGTCGGCACCGGGGGGGAGCTCCAGCCGCTCGCAGCCCGTGGGCCTTCCACACCCGGGCCCAATCATCCAGCCAATCGTCGGCCAGCAGGTACGGCTGCTCGCCTGACCGAACGGATACAGCAGCCTGCAGCGCCCGCGCTTTGCTAAAGCGATGGGCCTTGCTGGCGCCATTGACAAAGCTGGCCGCAACCCATTCGTTCCAGCTCTTATGGCGTTCCTTGGCGAAGGCAGACACCTTGCCACTAGCCTGGTCGAGCACCCAATCCACCATGTCATCAAAGTGGCCGTCGGCCAGCGCGAGCATACGCTGGCCAAAAAAAACAACGAACGGCGGGGTCGACAGCCTTGAACACCCAATCCTTCTTGAGCAGCCGGTTGAAGAAGGCCTCCGTGTCGTGCAACAGGACCGCGACCTTCTTCAGTGCCACAGGGCACCGCTGACCATCGGGTCCCGCTTGCCTCGACAGCTCAGGAACCCTGGTCGTCAGGCAGGTTCGCACTCGGCGCAAGTGGCGCACCCAGCCTGCCGCAATGGCCCACGCGTCAGTGGGGATACCTCTGGTGGGTGGCCTCTGCCTGGGAGGCTTCCAGGTGTACTGCATCCATCGCCGCCGCCGCGGCCCTGCGCGACCGATCTGTTTCCGTGCCGCTCTGCCCATAACGTCGTAACGGCCACACAGCTCCTGCTCGACCAGCTGCGTGACGCCGTCCCGCACTTGTGAGAGCTCAGCGTCGGAAGCGGCCAAATCAATCTGGCTCTGGACTGGGCCCCACTCGCACGGGTAGCGGCTGCAGCCGGGGGGGCCTTCGCCTCGAAGGCGCGGGGCTCTCAGGGCATGCGGCACCACAAGACGCGGTCCGAGCACGCGACCTCCAGGGTAACGGGGCGGTGCGGAAAGGTGTCGGCAGCTTCGTCAACCGCGACGTCCCCGATGCGCGAAATCAAACCAGCCTCCACCCCAAAGTAATCATAAGAATGGCCAGGCAAGGTCTGCCTGCATGTGGTGGCCTCGCCCGACACCAGGACTCCGCCAACGGAATTGAGCCACGGCTGAATCACGGGCGGCTCCACGTTGAAGTCGCCGCCGACAATCCACGTGTAGCCTTGGCAAGACATGTCTAAGAGGAAGTACCCCACCTCTCGCAGAATGGCCAGGTTGGCCGCGTAGAGCCCGACGGAGTCGTGGAGGTGGACCGACACGCAGATGATGCCTCCTGCAACTCCCCAGTGCGCGTGGCCCGCGACCGCGTAGCCCTTTTACCAACACGCCTGACGCGCGCCCAGTGGGGAGCGACCCCTGGATCCCTGCCCCCGCCAGGACAGCGCAGCCGGACGTGGGTGCCTCCCGCAGTCGACGGAGGGGCCGACTCCCAGATGCCGTGGTACCCAAGGTTCTGGACCCTCTTCTGCAGCGCCTCTGCCTTGTCATCGCCCGCGTGGTGTTCTTGAGCAAGAACCAGGTTCGAGCCGAAGGCTTCTTGGGCCAGCAGGTCCTCCAACTTCCCGTGCGACGAAACGTTGGTCGTAGTGATGAGGCCCTTGACTTGCGGCGCGCCGATGGAGGCCGGCGGCACCTTGACGACATCAGCGTCGCGGTCAGAGAGGGCAGCCACCTCCGCACTCGGCGGCGGCCAACCTTGGGCACCTCTGTCCCGTGGGCAGGAATGATGACCCCGTCGACGCAGAAGCCCCAGCCGACGTCGCAGGCCCACTTGTTGCAGAAGCCGCTGCCGAGGTGGAAGACCCAGACGTCGCGATGAGGAGAAGGAGGAGGAGGAGGAGGAGGAGGAGGAGGAGGAGGAGGACTAGGAGGAGTATGAGGAGGCGGAGAAGGAGGAGAAGGAGGAGGAGGAGAAGGAGGAGGAGGCGAAGGAGGAGGAGGAGGAGGAGGAGGGGGGAGGAAAGGGGGGGAGGAGGGGGGGAGCGGGGATGAGGAGCGGGGAGGAGGAAGGAAGAGGAGGAGGAGAATGAAGAGGAGGAGGAGGAGGAGGAGGAGGAGGAGGAGGAGGAGGAGGAGGAGGAAGAGGAGGAAGAGAGAGGAGGGATGGAGGGAGGGACTGAGGGAGGGAGGGAGGGAGGGAGGGAGGGAGGGAGGGAGGAGGAGGTGGAGGAGGAGGAGGAGGAGGAGGAGGAGGAGGAGGAGGAGGAGGAGGAGGAAGAGAGGAGGAGGAGGAGGAGGAGGAGGAGAGGGAGGAGGAGGGGGGGGGAGGAGGGAGAAGAGGGGGGGGAGGAGGAGCGGGGAGGAGGAGGAGGAGGAGGAGGAGGAGGATGAGGAGGAAACGACAGAAGGAGGAGGAAGAGGAGGAGAGGAGGATGATGAGGATGATGATGATGAGGAGGAGGAGGAGAAGTGTCTTTTAAATACTCAACCCCCTGTCCCATGAGGTCCCCTAGAGTATTCTCAGAGTTTGATGCGTTTCACGAGTTGTGCGACACTGTGTCCAGTGTCGCTGGGGTGGCGTCCCACAGTATGCGAGCATGACTGTACTGACGCCGATGTGGCTCAAGCGCGCAAAACATCCGGGAGGAGAGGGGCCTCCCGCTTGTCGCCCCGCGCGCCCCCAGGCCTCCAGAGTCCCTCGATCCGCCCGCGAACCCGTTTCACATGGTAGCAGGAGCGTGATGGTTGGGCAGGGACAGGGGCCGACGGGCGCCGCCGAGGGAGGCGAGCAGCCCCTCCAGCCCGACGAGGTGGAGCGTGCTGCCAGAGCAGCACTAGCAGCAGCAGCAGCAGCAGTAGCAGCACCAGCGCCCGAGGTTCCCAGCGGAGACCAAGGGGCGCGAACAGAGACAGCAACGACAGGGAGCGGCAGCCGAGGGACAGGCCGCGCGGGAGCTCCCTTGCAAGCAACGACAGCAGAGGAGGCAGACCCCTGGCTGCAGGGGGACCCGTGGAGCGACGCGGCTGGGAACGACCATGCCGGCTGGTGGAATTCGTGGAGAGAATGGTGGGGCTCAGCCAGCTGGTGGACCGGCTCGCAGGTGAATGAGTATGCAGACCACTGGTGGACCAACTCACCGGCGAACGAGGGCGAGGTCTGGGTCACCATCCAGAGGCCGCGGCAGCCGCCGCTCCCCCACGGGCTGATGCGCGGAGCGGCCGGGAGTGATCCCGCCACGGCGCAGGCCCCTCCGTCAGCACCTGCGCCGGCGACGCCGCCGGCCCGGCCGCCCGCGGTGACGATGGCCCCAGCGCAGCCGACCCAGCCACTCGCAGCAGCAGCGACGGAGCTGACGGCCGAAGCGACGCAGGTTCCGCCACCGCCACGGCCGTGGGCACCCACTGACGGAGGATCGACGTCCACGTGGCGCCCGTCAGACACACAGGGCCCTCAGCCGTGGGGAGGCTTCGAGCATCTCGAGACCTACGTAGTGGCCCTGCGGCGATGGAGCAGAAGGACGGGCCTGCCGGCAGAGCAGCAGGCGGGCAAGGTCATCGACGGCTTGCCCGTGGACATGCAGGAGAGGCTCCTGCACTACGCGGAGGAGCTCGACGCCCCCGGCGGCATCGAGGTCCTCATCGACTTCCTGAAGAGGTGCCGGGGCGACCAGGACGGCGACGAGGCCAAGGAGAGCTTCAGGCTGGCACTGGAAGACACCGAGATGAGAGCGGGGGAGTCGTACACCCAGTACGTGATGCGCCGGGACCTGCAGGTGAAGTCGGCGAAGAGGTACGGGCTCGAGCTCCCAGAGCAGGTCCAGGTGCAGCAGCTGAGGAGTGGAGCGAACCTGAGTGAACAGAATGCGATCAACCTGCTCTCGATCACCCAGGGACGTGAGGATCTGGAGTCGATCAAGCAGGGTTTGAAGAAGATGGACGTGAAAAAGAAGAGCAGCCAGAAAAAGTCGAGGGTGCACGCGGTCGGACACGACGAGGACGAGGACGACGAAGAGGTGTTCGGCAGCAGCGAGGTCTACCTCGAGCTGGAGGAGGACCTCATCCTGGACACCGAGGACGCGCTGGCCTTCTACGAGGCGATCGCCAACCAGGAGTTGGACGAGGACCAGGCGGCGGCCGTCCTGGCCGCGGTGCTGGACGAGAAGAGGACCAAGGAGGGCCGGCCTCGGAAGTGGGCAGAGTCGCGAGAGCTGAAGAAGGCCATTGCCCGGGACCGCGACTTCTTCGACTCCAAGAGAGCCGGAGGCCGGGCGGCGCCACGCCCGCCAGCGGGCAGGCAGCGCCTCAGCATCGCCCGCCTCAAGGAGAGGACGCGGTGCGCCAACTGCGGTCAGAAGGGGCACTGGCGCAAGGAGTGCACCAATCCGTACAAGCCGAAGCAGATCGAGCAGCGGCCCAAGAAGGAGCTCGGGGGGAAGTCGCTCTACGTGGCGGCGGACTTGCTTGACGAGGGCGACGGCGCCTTCCTCGTCGGAGGGCCTCGGATTCGGGAGCTGTTTCGGAACGTGCTGATCGGCGAGTCCTGCGATCGAGGCCAGGTGGGCCACGGACGAGTGCTAGCCGACCAGCCTCTGCGAGGCCAGGTGGGACTCGCGGGGGAACGAGGCGATCCCGACGGCGGAGAACTGGGGCCAGGTGGGCCTCGTTCGAGGTCAGAGGGAGCAGCTCCCGATGACAGACCTGGAGGATCGGAAGCTGGGCAAAGCCGGGCCTTGGATGGCTCCCGCGAGCTTTCTTGGGTAATGCTCTCCCGAGGACCCGAAAGCTCAACTTGGGCTATGCCCGCATGCCATAAATCTAGTACATGCCTGTGCACATGCTTTGCTGGCGAATCGCGCACTGCGCTGATCGCGATAGGTCCTCATGCGGCCAATCGCGTACCGTTGCTGTGAATTGTGTTGAGTTGCATGCATTTGCATCAAAATTTCTTACCATCGCCCGATCGCAGCCTGTTGCAATCGTCCTGCGTTGCGTTGCATGGCGTTGCGCACATCATGACCGCGCTCCCGTCATCGAATTAGACTCGCAAATGCACCACGTTAACATACAAATCACACATGCAACACCTATATAACAAAACTTTCGGGGTGCATGGTAGATGCGTCGCATGCCCCGCATCCCAGCGGATTTTCGTCAGCATGGGGTCAGGAGAGCGCTTCGGCTCGAGATGTCCCGGAAATTCTGGCACGACCGCATTCCCACCCCAACAGAACCCGAGGGGTCCAGCGATGGGTCCTCGCTGACAGAACGAGAAGGTTCTGATGCTCCAGAGGACGGCATGTTCCCTGCAAATGCATGTCGTCGCCGTCGCCGTCGTCCTCGCTTCCCTCCTTGTCCTCTTCCTCCTCTTATGACGGTATTGCTGCATGTGCACCCTCTATAGAGGTGGCCCCGGGAGCCATTGAGGGGCCCTTTCCTGTCGCCACGGCCGCGCGCGCGCTTCGTTAATGACGCAAGCTCGGGCAGCGCGTCATTTCTCTCATGCGCGGCCCCACAGTCAGCGGACGGGGCCGCGCATGCGAGAAATGACGCACTGAGGCACGCAGCGGGCGCAGCTGCTCGAGGTGCTTCAGCATGGGTCAAGGTAAAAGCTGTGAGAAAAATGCCTTGGGAATGGGGTCGCCAATGGGGTCGAGAGCTTCCGGAGCCCATGTCACGAGCAAATTTGGTCAGGAGTTTCCGGAGCCCATGCCGCCAGCCCTGTAGGCGTGGGTGGTTTAGGGCGTTTCCTCTTCCACCCCTCCTTCTTCCCCTTCGGGGAAGGTTTTACCCCTCCCCCTGCCCTGGACCTGGACAGGGTCCAAAACGGCCTCGGCGAGGAAGCCAAAATCATTGTTTTTACTAGGGTTGTGGCCCCATTTTGGCCTCCTGAGGAGGAGGGCCCTAAGTCAAGCTCCCCATTTTGTTTGATCGATCTCCTCCAAGATGGCCCCAAGAAGCGCCCAGGAGGCCCCAAGAGGTCCCAAGATGGCCCCGAGATGGCCCCAAGAGGCCCCCAAGAGGCCCCCAGGAGGTCCACAAAAGGATCCCAAGCGGCCCAAAGAGGCCCCCCCGAGGCACCCAAGACCCCAAAGAGCCCCCAAGGATCGCCAAGAGACACCCAGGACGTCCCAAGAGGCCACCAAGAATCGCCCAAGAGATACCCCAACAGGCTCCGAGAGGTATCCAAGAGACCTCTGGCCCTTGTGCTTGCCCTCCTCCTCCTCCTCCTCCTCCTCCTCCTCCTCCTGTTCCTCCTTCCTCCTCCTACTCCTTCTCTTCCTCCTCCTCCTCCTCCTCCTCCTCCTCCTCCGCCTCCTCCTCATCCTATTCATCCTCCTTCTTCCCACTCCCTCATCCATCCGTCCATCCACCTCCTCCTTCTCCTCCTCACTCCTTTGCACTTCCCTGATCACCTCAACTCGCCTGGACATCGTTTCTGGATGGGCTAGTGGGGATACGCGACGCGTCTAAAATTTCGGAAGATTCTGCGTGCTTTGGTGGGGGCGTCGGTTAAGTAACGTGCCCCGGAGGCGTCAAACACTGGGGGGCTCCTCATCTGAAGAGGGCGACGGCGATATCATGGCCGATCCACATTCAAAGTCCTGGCTTCCAGACCGCGGATTCCTTGTTCAAGGTTCCCTAGGCCCCCCCGTCGCCATGCCGCGCCCCGAGCTGGCTCCGAGCAGGGCGCGCGCGCGCCCCTTGCGCCCGACACGCGGGCGCCATCATGGTTTGATCAGTGCGCCCGCCTGCTCGACCCCCCCGGCCCCGGCGAGCGAGAGCGGGGAGGAGGAGGAGGATGATGATGATGATGATGAAGATGATGATGATGATGAGGAGGAGGAGGAGGAGGAGGAGGAGGAGATGGAGGAGGCGGAGGAGGAGGAGGAGGAAGAGGAGGGGGAGGAGGAGGGGGAGAGGGAGCGCCAGCGCGAAGAAGGAGAACAACGAGGAGAGGGAGCAGGAAGACCGGGGAGATGGCGGCAGGGGGGGTAGGGGCTAAGAGCGAAGGGTGGACCCAAACAAGTGTGGAGGAGCAAGCACTGAGCAGTTCAGAGTAGGAGGCGAGGTGAGAAGGGGGAGGGGGAATGTGGCACTAGGGAAACCCCTGCATCGGTTGGCAGGCATTCTGGCTTCGAGTTGTTTGTTGTTCATATATGCGGATATGGAAGCACTGATTGATACGCCCACCTGGAAATCATGTAAGTCGAGGCGTGTCGGATGGCGTTCAGATGAAGCAGCTCGCTTGGGACAAGAATTTATGCAACATTCCCCCCTGCTGGCTAAAAACTGGGTGATGTCTGGCAACTACAAAGGAGGTGCACTCGTGAAGGCTCCCAAGAGCGATGCGAATCCATCTATCTCTGAACTTGAGCAGAATGGACCATGCTGTTGCATCTACGCCGCCCCTTAAAAAAAAACTGAGGATGCTGAATCGACGGCCCCGACCCCCGCATGAAATTAGGTTTTGTTTTCGAATGGCTGCAACGCGCCTGAAACCTGAATTTCGGGGTGCGGTTTATGTGTACCTCCGCCCCGTCATGAAACTCTACCAATCCAGATTGCCGAGCCCGTATCTCGTCGCCGACGCATTGTTGGAAATGGACAAAGAACTCGGAGGACACTTGCTGAAGATCCCAGGCAAAACACACGAGACTACGACCCGTGGAGAAAAAGTAGACCTCGCTCTCATGGATGCAAAAGAAATCAAACGATTGTGTTCGTACGTCCGTTATCTTGCACGAGGGGGGCCCAACTCCCACTCAGAGAAAGTGAAAGACCTCAAGTCATTCGTGAAATTCGATAGCAGGGACAAAGGGAGCGAGAGTGATACCGATCCTGATTCATTGCCACGGCCAGCCGAGGGGACTGCAAGGCCACGCGTGGCCCCGATGAGCCCGGTCCCCGAGGAGGTCGAGAATGAAGCGCCGCCTCTGGAGCCTGCGGGGGCGCCTGCAGAGCCTGGGCCCATGGGGCCCATCGCCGACGCCGAGGGCGAGGTGGTCGTGTGCATCGACGATTCGCCGATCCCCGAGGACCGCTCATTTCCGATCTCTTCCTTGTCCCCTTTGCCTCCTCCATCTTCTCCACCATATCCCTCTCCCCCCGTCCTCGCACCGCCCGCTCGCCCTGCCCCGTTCCCCCTCGTCGGGGGAGGAGCGGGAGAAACCCTGCCCACCTCCGCCTCCCCCCCCTGTCGCCGAGCCCCCTTTTTCTTACCCTGTACGTCACCCCCCGCCCTCTGCTACTCCTTTCCCTTCCCGCCTGCCCTCGTCCATCTCCTCTCGAGCGTCGTTGCTTAAAACTGTCTATCAGGACGTCGAGACGCTGCCGACGGTCGAGTCGCTGCCGACGCCCGCCACCATGCCAGGCGGCCCCGAGGAGGAGCAGGCCGCGCTGTTCGACGTCGGTTGCATCACGGGGCTCGACAAGCTGATGCAGCAGCCCCCGGACTCGTGCCCCGACGACGCGCTGATTGACGAGAGCCAGCTTGATGGCCGCAAGGGGCGCCGCTCCGAGAACGACGAGCAGCAGCAGCAGCAGCAGCAGCAGCAGCAGCAGCAGGAGCAGCCCCTGGACTCGTGCCCCCGCAGCGCGCTGATTGACGAGAGCCAGCCTGATGGCCCCAGGCACCGCTCCGAGAACGACGAGCAGCAGCAGCCCCCGGACTCGTGCCCCGACGACGCGCTGATCGAGGACAGCCACCCTGATGGCCACATGGGGCACCACCACGACATCAAGCCGATGCAGCAGCCCCCAGACTCGTGCCCCCACGGTGCGCTGATTGACACGAGCCAGCCTGATGGCCGCACTGGGCGCTGCTCCGAGAACGTCGAGCAGCAGCGGCAGCAGCCCCCAGACTCGTGCCCCCGCGACGAGCTGATTGACGAGAGCCAGCCCGATGGCCAACTGGGGCGCCGCTCGGACACGGTCGAGCAGCAGCAGCAGCAGCAGCAACCCATGGACTCGTGCCCCAGCGACGAGATGATTGACGAGGGCCAGCCTGATGGCCACATGGGGCGCCGCTCGGACACAGTCGAGCAGCAGCAGCAGCAGCATCAGCAGCAGCAGCAGCAGCAGCCCATGGACTCGTGCCCCCCCGACGAGCTGATTGACGAGAGCCAGCCTGATGCCCACCTGGGGCGCCGCGCAGACACAGTCGAGCAGCAGCAGCAGCCCATGGACTCGTGCCCCCCCGACGAGCTGTTCGACGAGAGCCAGCTTGATGGCCGCATGGGGCGCCGCTCGGACACAGTCGAGCAGCAGCAGCAGCAGATCTTGGACTCGTGCCCCCGCGACGAGCTGTTCGACGAGGCCCAGCCTGAGCCCGATGAGGCCTTGGGAAGGGAAGTGGGCCGTTGACCCCGTGGGGGGGGGGGGGCGTCGACACCCCATACATGTATAATACCTACCTACCTACCTACCTACCTACCTACCTACCGGCCGACCTACATACATACATACATACCTACCTACCTACCTACCTACCTACCTACCTACATACATACATACATACATACATACATACACACACATGCATGCATGCATGCATACGTACATAATTACATACACTCATGCATACATACATACCTACATACATACATACATACATACATATATGCATGCATATACACATGCATGAATACATACATACGTACATACATGCATACATGCATGCACGCATACATACATAAATACATACATACATACATACATACGTA